GTTAGTATTATTGCTAAATAATCTAACGGGGCTGGGTGGGACTCCTCGGGAGTCAGGAAGGATTATTTTTCAGATGATGTTGGGAAAAAAAAAGGCATAGAGTTGGACTCTTTGATCGCACTTCTCGGGGACAGATTTAACATTTCTGCAGCGTTTAGGGTTGATCGAGTACAATATAAAATTAAATATAATTTACATACTGTATTAATAAGGACCGATGTATTGGAGCTCCTTAAAAATGAGCAGCTAGATTGATTGATCAGGGTGGCTTTGCAGCCCACTTTTTTAGATCCCCGGAGTGAAAGATTTTTTTGTTACAAGTTTCCCTATACAAATAATCTACATTGTAGATTTGTATAGGAAAACACAGGAAATTAAGTTTCAAAGTGGCATACATGTTATTCAAACAAAGGGCAGGCTGTGCTCCATAAAGATTTGGCTGTGGGTAAAGTGATAAAGTTAGTTAGTTTGCATCAGCTGGGGCTGAGGGCATTTAATATTCATTTCCCTTCCAGTCTGCGGTTATATGTACTGTATACTGTATAACTATTATCACCATAACTGCATCCATGGTTGGGTGACATGCAATGGTGTGTAGTATTCAGTGGCACAACCCAGCTGACCAACCAGCATAAATAGGTTTCAAGAGGTAAATATCTGAGGAGAGAGATAAGATGGTCCTATTAACGTTTGCATGGTCTTCCACCCTATCTATGCTGTTTTGAGTGTTGCTTAACCAACTCACATTTCATTTCCCCCCCCCCCTTTAAATCGGCTTTCTCAAACCTCTTCCCTCCCAAACGTCTTCCCTCCGAACGGTGTGGGGTGCAAGTCTTACCAGCTTCATCCAGCCTGCTCAGTTGGGCAGGAGTGATGGGAGATGTAGTCCCAGACCAGAAGACTGGGTTTAAGTCCCTTTCTCTCAGTCTGTATCAAAGCTCAGATTTGTTAACAAAAAAAATGTGTGTGTGTGTGTGTGTGTGTGTGTGTGAGAGAGAGAGAGGTTGTTCCTTCCTTCCTTCCTTCCTTCCTTCCTTCCTTCCTACGTCAGTGACTCAGACCTAAGTAACTCTTTCCCAAAAGATTAATACTGACATTAAAATAATACAGAGAGGATTATTTTCTTATCTCTAATGCCAGCTTATAGCGTGGTTTTGGCAGGAAGGAGGGGCTGTGGCTTCGCTCTTAAAAGTACGAATTAAAACATCATTTCTGAGGGGCAGAAGGAGCTAAGCTGTCAGAAGCTAAAATATGTTTTCACACACACCATCGATAAAGAAGCTTCTCTCAGACTGCAGACCTACACACTTATATTGGGGGCCAAGCCCCACTGAGGTGAAGGGGTTACTTCAGATTTTCACACTCCTCTTTCACAGCTATGCAATCTGAGGCATAAAAAAAGAGAGAGTTACTTTCAAGTAAGCTTTGTAACGGCTAAGGCCACGCAAATTAAACTTGCATTTGATTTGATTCAAGTAAACCCATAATAGATTTCCTTCAAAAAACTCTAGGAGCAGATGATTTCTGAGATATAAATGGCATTTAAAAAAAAAAACAGCCAGCTTGACTTCTAGGTAAACGAGGGAGGCTGCTCGTGAGCCTGGATTGGGGCCATGGAGAAGGTCCTTTTTAGCTTTCCAGGTGGAGGTGTTTTGGTCCCTCCTGGGAAGGAGACGAGGGAAAAGGTACAAATAGATCTAAGGCCAAGCCAGCGATGGCCGATTGCATTTCTGGGCCTCACGGGGGTCATTCTGCTGGCGGAACAACAACAACAACAACAGCAAAGCCACACAAGACCTGGGTTCCTGGGTGTGTAAGGACTTGGCCACACTGAGTTCGGTGAAGGGGCCCCGGTTCAGCTGGTTTCGAAGCAGGAAAGTCCTCCCACCTGGCCAAGTCGGGGAGTCCGCTCAGAAACAGCAGGCGCCATGGTGGAGAGAGCTTGGCTGTGTGGCCTAGTAGTCCTGCTGTGGGCCGAAGGAGACGCCTGCCTGGAGAGCCGTGGGCCAACGGACCGAGAGTGGCTGAACCCCACCGACAGCCTAGGAAACCACCAGCACCTGCCCATCCCCTACCGTAAGGAAAACGGCCTCGGCTGTCACCCCGAGGCGGTTTTGGAAGAGTTGCATCTTTGGGTAGTTTTGGGCTGCATGCAAGGAGGCCGATTTTGTGCTTTCCTGGGTCTCCCCTTATTCCGGTCCTGGCAGCACATCCTTGGCTGGTAGGGTGGGGAGGGGGGCACATCCCCTGTGAGTGGCAGGCGACAGGGCATCCCTGGGGACCGAAGGATGCCTTCATACCTGAGCTGGCAAGCCTGCTTGCCTGCGTGAATTCACACATGCACAGAGAGAAGCCGGCCAGGCAGGAAGGAGGAGGTTGAACCCTGGCTTCCAGTAAAGAAGCCCCCAGCAGTGGGGCAGTCTGGGGCTGTGTCCCCCTCCCCATTGATCCGAGGAGAGAAGCCCTAACTTCTCATCCTACAAGCCTCCTTGGGGGGGGGGTCACGTGAACGCCCATCCGCTGGGCTTCACAGTAGGGTGGCCTGTTCATGCCACTCATGCCAAACCGGTGTGTGTGTGTGTGTGTGTGTGTCTTTGCACATGGAGATAAATGAGTTTAAAATGGGAGGCCCAAGTTCTCTGTTGCCCCACCGTGGAACACCCAGGGGTTTTTGGAGGGCTTGTTTGGTGTGGGGGCCGCTGTGGGCTTTCATGGGGCATGTGGGCTAGTGTTCTGCTCACAG